GAAACCACCACCCATCACAGGTAGGCAAGAAACTCAACTCTAGTTTTCTTCTGTAAAAACACAAGTAATAAAAAAAACAAACATTATGGAAAGCCAAGACAATACATTCCATAAAAGATGATCAATTCTATAAAAATATTCCTTAACCAGTGAACCTAAAGAGGACAGGATAACTGTGAATAAGCCCATGAAAACACAAACAAGGGGCTGAATACACAACAAAGACAATTCAGGATATGAAGAGTAAATTTAATAAACAGAAATACAGAAAAAACATAAATTGAAACTTACTTGAAATGAAAAATTCAGTGAGTCAATTAAAAAAATATTGGTGGAAAGCCTCAGCAACAGAACATGTTAAGTAGAAGATAGAGTCATGGCTGGAAGATGAGGAAGAAGAATAGGATCATGCAATTGAAAGGGGTAATTTTTATAAAGAACTTCGCCAATGTAATATGCTGCTGTGGAATATTCCTTTACATTGTGTGAATATATGTTGCTGTGATTGTCTTAATAAGGAGGCTAACTGGCCTATAACCCAGGCAGAATTAGATTAGGTGGGAGAGTCAGACTAGGAGAACTCTGGGATAAGGAAGGCTGGAATCAGGAGAATCTCCATCAGATACAGAGAAGCAAAATGGGCGTGTTGGACTGAGAAAAGGTACCAAGCACCATGAACAAGCATAGATAAGCAATATGGGTTAACTTAAAATTTAAAAGCTAGTTAATAATAAGCCCAAGCTATTGGCTGAGCATTTATAAATAATACTAAGTCTCTGTGTGGCAATTTGAAAGTAGCTGCCATGTCGGGGAGCAGGCAGTTAGGACAGGAAATGCTAGCTTTTGGTATGCAGAATCTTTGGGATGATATGAATTGTAGGACTAGAAAAGTTAATAAAATAAAACTCTCTAAATCTGTGGAAATAGATGCCCTTGTAGATATAAGAGGCACCCAGAACACCAGATAGGAGCAGGAAAAAAATCTTCCTACCCAATGAAAATGTCAAACGTATGGAACAAATAAAGAGAAGTGACAAGTTACATGTCGAGGCAAATAATAGCTATTTTTTTCTATTAGAAACTTTAAAAGACAGACAATCTTATATCAAAGTTCTTCAAGTCCTAAGATCACCTATGTTGAACTAGACTGCTATTCTTGACAAAACTATCTTTTTGAGAGAAGCCTTCCCGCCAGCCTGGTTCTAGAGCAGCATCAGTCCCAAATAAACACACAGGAGGCTATATTAATTATGAAGCTGTTGGCCTTGCTTGTTTCTTACTGGCTAGCTCTGACTTAAGTAATTACCCCATAATTATTAATCTAAGTATTTCTCTTACCGGAGAATAGTTCCGGGCTTCCTACCCCATGGTGTTACATCTTGGCTCTCCGTGTTCCTCCTTCCCAGAGTTCTCCTGGACTCCTAGTCCCACCTATCTAGATTCCCTATTGGCCAGACACTGCTTTATTGACAAATGCACAGGATTTCCCCAACATATCTGTCATACTGAAAAAAAGAAAAACTCACTGAAATTAAAAACCAGGCAAAAGAATTCATCTCCACAAAATATCCTTACAGAGAACACTGAAGGAAAATGTAACCATATCCAAGAGGTTACAGGAAGAAAACAAATGATGCTACAATAACTAGTATTCGAAATAAGATTAAGAAAACTAACACCACAAAAGCAATAAAATGGCAGCAGTCAACAAAAAAATTTCAATAACAACTTTAATATTGATGTCCTTAACTTCCCGGTCAAAAGATATAGGCTAACCAATTGGATTTAAAGACATGAACCACCTTTTTTGTTGTCTATAGGAAACATTTTACCTTTAAGGGTAGACACTACTTTAGGTAAAAAGTATTCCAAACAAATGGAACAAGGAAATAAACAGGCATTGCAATGTTAGAATCTTATAAAAGTAAAACCAAAACTAATCAGTAGAGATAAAGGAGGCTTCTTTTTTCATTCTGATCAAAGGAATAATCCAAAAAGAGGACATTACATTCTTAAACATATATGCACCAAACTCAGATGCAGCTGATGAATGAAAAAAGCTGAATGAGTGAAAGTTGAATGCTTAGCCATAAACAAGACATTTATAACACCTTCTCTAAGACTCAAGGAACATTGTTGAGGAAGATATGGAAAGAATGTAAGAGCTGAAAGATAATTCTGAAGAAGGGCTAGAGAGTGTTACCATACAGTCATTCTAATAAGGAGCTCACTGCAACTGTGTTTATTTATATTGTATTTGCACAAAAGTGGACCTGTCAACAATCAATCATGGATGAAGAGGAGGGATATAGGGTCCTGTTCACTCTACTGAAATAGTATTCACTGAGAGATTGTGGAAGTAACTGCCATCAGTTGTGTAACTAATGTGACCCTACCAGCATATACAGTTCCAAGCAGACTCACACAGATGACCCTGGTTATAAACACATCATGTTTAAAAACAAATCATAAATACAGATATGGTAATGGATTTATAGAAAGAAGATGAGATTGATGGGGGAGATAAGTGATGGTAAAGCTTAGTGAATAATTAATGTATTGTATCCATATGCAGAATGGTCAAAATACAAATTTAGTAAATTAAAAAATGTAATTAAAACACATTAAAAATCAAATTTTAGGAGCTGAAGACAGCTCAGCTTTTGCTATGCAAGCATGAAGACTTGAAACCAGTTTCTAGCATTCCACATAAAAAGAACTATGCAGAGTGGAAGGGAATTATAACGCCATTACTGAGGAAGCACAGCGTTGGTGACCCATGGCTCATTGGATAGCAAGCTTAGTCTAATTTGTGAGCTCCAGGCCAGCAACAGATGCTGTGTCAAAAACCAAGGTGGAAAGCTCTTGAGAAACATCCCAAGGTTGACCTTTGGCCTCCCCTATGTATACAGAAAAACAACAACAACAAAAACAAAACAAAAAGTAAAACTTTATGGAAAATAAAAGTATGTAATTTGGAAAGTTAAGTATTACAAAACATAATTCAAGACCCTCTAATTTTAACAGAGAAACAATGACATAGAACTCCTAGAATAGAAATATTGACAGACTGAAGAGATGTATTAGAGATTAAGAGCACTAGCTGCTCTTCCAGAAGATCTTAGTTCAACTCCAAGCACACACAAGACAGCTCACAACAGTGTGTCATTCCAGCTCCATGGAATCTGATGATGTCTTCTGGACTCCATAGGTATCAGACACTTAAGATGTGCACAGATAAACATATAGGAAAAAACCAGTATGCACATGAAGTCATAAAATAAATAAAAATAGCAATGCTTTCAAGTTATGAAAGCATGAAAAGTTTGTTATTGTGGTAGTAAAAATTACAAATATAAAAATCCATATGGTGTACTACCTGAGGCACAAGCAAGTCAGAATTTTAGTCACCTGTTGATATGTCACCAATTTTTTCAGATTATCTAACAAATATTCTCCCTTCTCTTTTTAGTTTTATTTTTTAGTTCCCATGATCAAACCCACATCCTTGTATATGCTAGGGGAGTGCTCTATACCCCCACCTTTAATATTGTGTGATTGTCTCTCCCTATCTATCATGGTACATGTTTTGGTGATTGACAAGACTCATTTTGAGTTTTCTGTAATACACTGCCCTTAAAACTTCCCTGTCATAGAGAAATACTGGCTATTCATGGGAAGATTTTAGTATTTGTTTTAAGATTTTATGGCACATGAAAAATACTCTGTTAAAACCTATTGTCATTGTATCTCCTCTTGATCACTACACCCTAGACGCAGTCTTCCTGTGTTTATCAAACTGTTTGGCTCAGAGACTTTGCAATTTCTTTTGCAATTGGCAAGAATTCTCTTTTCTAAATGCTCTTATCTCTTGCTGACTTCTTTTCCTCTTTGCTCAAATAAACAGCTCTATTTATGTCTATTTATTTTTCCTGAATTACTTTTCTTCCTGGTTCTGGAAAAACAAAACTCTTACCCTTTTAGGAGAGAACTGATTGACAAACTATTATCCCAATGGATAACAATTAAAACCTGCATTAAATGCATTTAATCAAACAAAGACTGATTTTTGCGAATGTATGCACATCTGCAAGACAATGTGAGATACCTTTCATAAAATTACTGAATATCAGATACTGCACACCTGATGCAGTTCAATTAAGACACTTCTTTTGTTTTTTTTTGGGGGGGGGAGGGTATGGGGTTGAGATGGGGCATTATTTTGCAGCCCAGAATGACCTTGAACTCAGACGGTAGTTTGGATGAGAGTATCTCCCACAGACTCATGTGTTTGAACATTTGGTTCCCACTTGATGCTCTGTTTGGGGATGTTCAGGATGTGATACCTGGCTGGAGGGCTTTGGAATCATATGGACAACCAGGCTATAGGAATCAAGAGTGGCATCCAGCATCATGTTAGTTCTGAATCAATTGTACTTAGTATACTTTCTTCCCTCTGTCCTGAGGCATGGATTCAGGTCTGACTCTTTAGTTTTTTCTGTTTGTTTTCAACTCCAGAGCTGTCCATTCTTCATTTTGAAGTCTCAGATCTTTTAAATGGCAGAAACTTCATAGTAGTTAGATAAAACCCTAGTAGGTAAGGCTGTTTTTGTTAATTTAGCATCTATTCACATGGCTATTTAAATCTCTGGAAAGAGTCTGCTCAGTGCTTTAGTTAATTGCCTAACAGAATATAATTATGCCTCTGCTACTTCAAGAAATAGAAGCTATCTATCTTTCCCCGGATCTTTACATATATTATTTACTTAATCTTCAGCTTTTTCCAATATAAATAAAACATTTTTACTTAGTAAGAAAATTAACAGAGTCTAGGATGTATGAGATCTCTCTCAAAAATGTGAAAAATGCATTATAAAATAATGCTTATACTTTAATTTGTTAAGACTACATGAGAAAATTATAAAAACAAATAAAATTAAGAAAGTAAAAAAGAACTACTTTTGAAAAGATAGTTTAGCAATTCATGTCTTTTGATTAGTAACCACCCTTAGTAGCAGAGACACTTCAAAGTGTTCTCTAAACATTGAATCCCCATCAGTGATGCTGCAAGCCTTAGCTCTCATCTTTCATGCTCACCATTGCAGTGACTTCAAAAGGATGAAACGAGAATGGTAATCTCCCAAAGTAACCTTGTACTCATACTAGTAATTGCGTATTTAGCTATCGTGCACTCACGACCAGGTAATTGTCTCATTACACCGTGTTTTAATAAATATAATAATTAACATTTAGTTATAAAAATTCAAATGTTCAGGCCATTCAAAATTAAATTCGGAGCCCAAGGGACATCTAGGAGAAAATGAAAAAGAATTAGATAGTGTCAAATATAGACATCTTCAAAGGAAGGGAGACCATTTAAACTTGCCTTTTACTTACTGAAATGTGTTCTGCATATTTTATTGTTTTTGTCACTGTGCTTGTTATAATCCAGCAAGTGAATGTTCAAAGAACATAAAGTCCTACAAATAAACAGACTGAATGTGAACGAATTGATAAAAGAGGCATCAATTAGGATCAAGAGCTTAGCATGCCAGCTTTGATTATGTGAAGCAATAATTTTCCTAGTCGTGTTCCTGTAATGCATGATTTATGGGAAGAATAAAAACTATAATGTTTTAAGGCTCATGATTCTCACATGTTGAATGAATTTTCCTCATGGAAGGAACTTAAACCCTTATCTAAATAATCCCAATATCATCAATCAAAATTTTGGGATTGACCAAGATTGTAAAATTCAATTATAAACCTGATAATGCAGAGGAAGAATGATAACAGGCATCACCTTTTAAGTGTTTGTAATCTACCTCAGAGATACATTTGAGAAGCCGTCTCAAGACATATATTGGTCAAATTGCAAAGGCATCATTAGGTTATGATTTAACAAGTGGATGAGAATTCTTTCTATTGTCTGTTAAGTATGTGTCTTTCTTAGTTGCTGGAGTATTACCCATTTGTTTAACTGGGAAATTATCAACATTAGTCTTCATTTGAGTTTATTGAGTACAGAGGACTCATTAGACCTCGTATTCAAGCACTGGCCCTGGTGCATATAGTGAAAGCTGAGAGTCTACAAGCTTTCATGGCATGCAGAGATTGTGTGATATACTACATATGGAGTGGGATCTAAACAATCTGCCTATATCACATTCATCTCTCAAAGAATATGAGCCAAGGACAGGAAACACACTTGCCAAAGCAAAAATATTCAGGCTTTGGAAAATGAACAAAAGGAAAAATCAATAAGGTTTAAGATCTGGAAAACATCTACTGTTTACCAGGACTGTTTTGTCACCAGCCTGTCTGCAAAGTAGGTTAATAGAGAACAGATCTACTGTTTTCAATATGAAATTAATTGAACATCTTTATCAGAAAGATCTAATGAACAGGCAAGAGAATGGGCATGTGAACATGTGTTTGTGTGAGAGTGTGTTCTTCTATGTGTGTGTATGTGTAAGAGTATATCTGTGTGTGTGTGTGTGTGTGTGTGTGTGTGTGTGTGTTGAAAGGTAATTACTGAAGTGTGGAATGACCAAAAATGGGAAGGATAAACAAGAAGTGATAAAGTTCTATGAATGAATACTTTGGTGACAGGGAAAATTAATTGGGATAGCTTTGATTTGTAGGTAAATATAGGGACCAATTTCTAATGATTAATTAAGCAAATTTCTCAAAAGATTTTGAAGAAATAATTCTGATATACATCTATCTCTATTTATCTATTTTATACTTAACTCTCTGTGTCCATCAAAGGTATAACTATGGAATTACTTTTAGTTAATGTGTTTTATAAGCGTCTTTAGCAGAGACACAATAAATGGATTGAGCTTATTCAACAGCAGCATAGATAATGTAATTATTAAGTTTGAGATCTTAAAATCTGAGCAACAACAAAGGGAAAATGCAAGACGGCTTATTTGAAAAAAAAAAAAAAGAATCCCACAAGTTTCTGTGAGTTCAAAATGATCATAATCGGGAAGACCCAAGACAGGACGTAGTCAAGCATTTGCCAAAGGTGTTACTTGTATCCTTTGATGCTAGCCTGAGTGAAATATAAACTCATTTTCGAAGGATGATGATCCTACCTTAAACTGACTTCTTTGTGTAAAGCATGTTCCATAGGTCAAGACTGTGTGGAGGAGGATTAGCCCTATGCTGTCTGGTATGTAAGGAAAGCAGTCGTTCCTGCAGCTTAGACCAAACTTACAAAGAGAAAGCAAGCGCCAATCATTGCTGCTTTGAGTGTCACATCGAGGTCGGCAGGAACATGTATCCCAAAGTTGTCAGCATTGGTGAATACGTCATTGACAAATCCGGACCAGTACTTGGAAATCTTCCCAATTGTAAACTTTTCATCCACAGTTTTCACCTTTGAAAAGAAAAATAAAAGGTATGAGATTTGCAGATAAAAAGATAGCTGACATTGCCTTCCTGATGAATTTGAGGCCCTGTATTACTCGTCATCCTCCAGAAGGAGCTCTATGTTGCGTGTGACTGTGTATCAGCACAGGTGTGGATATTTACCTCCACAGTGCTCCAAAATTTCAGACTGCCAGTTTGTAGACCATTATAATTTGTCTTCCTTTTTGTTTTCTATGCAGATGGAGTAAACAATTAAGTCTAGACAACCACAAGATGGCAGCAGGCACATCTTTTCATTATGTAGCTAAGCATGAAGGTACACATGTTCAGATTTTAAACCTGAATTTGTCATCATAAAATATGTATACGGACAGTATATATACTGTGTTGCATGTGTATTAAAATAATATTAAAACACTATTTGGATGAAGTAAATTATTTTCTAGGTATAATTCATAAATGTTAAAAATTTATCAACTGTATAATTATTAAAATTTTTAAACATAATACATTGTCAAACTACACTTTTATGCTACACTCAGCCATCTGTCAACACATTCCCTTCTAACTAACCATAAGTATAAGACATCACTTTGAGCTACTGTATAAACAGGAGACTGAGATGCGTCTGACAATGAAGTCTACCACGCCCACTGAGTGAGGGTCAACTCTGACTCTATCAACTATTTATTTCTTTATCCTGTATATTATCTGACACTGACACATTTAATATGGAACTTCCCTTTTCCTATGATGATAGAAAATAGAAAATAGGGAAGGTTTCTTACGTTACAGCTATAGCATGGAAACTAAGCCCTGCTGTTTAAATTCTCCTCAATCATAACAATAATAATAATACAACCATATTATTAAGAAGCCATATAACCAGGCCGTGGTGGCAAACACCTTTAATCCCAGCTCTCAGGAGGCAGAGGTATGTGGATCTCTGTGAGTTCAAGACCAAACTAGTCTACGAGCTAGTTCAATGACAGCCAGGGCTACACTAAGAAACCCTGTATTACAAAACAAAAACAAAACAAACAAAAATCCATGCAACAATTCTGGGCCTAGGACAAGTCAAGTAACAAAGTCTGTGTTCTCGGTGCGTGTAGGTTCCTGCATAAGTATGGATAACAGACCTGGGTGGGATACAAACAGTGAGAAGGAGATGCTTTAAAAGCTGATGGCTTTGTCAAACCCTGCCTATAATGTATGTTCACAATAATCTGTTAAGAGAGTACACATGTTGCAGGTTAAATTTGCAACTGCCAATTTTAAAACCCGAGAGCACATCATCGTACAAGCTTACAAACATAGCTTTACATAGTGTCACTCTAGTGGGGTATGCTTCTGAAATGAGACCTGAATGGGGTTAAATGTCCATCAAGCAGGCCAACAGGAAAGGGCAGAGATAAATTTGGTAGTCAAAATACACATATTCACTCTTCCCCATGTGAGCTTTTAACTCCCTATGAGGCAACCTCACCAACATAAGGTTACCATGATCTTTAACACTAACAGCGTGTTGGTTATCTAAAAATCACAATATTCTCTCTTACTCTCATTCTCTCTCTCTCTCTCTCTCTCTCTCTCTCTCTCTCTCTCTCTCTCTCTCTACACACACACATAAAATCTTGATGTTCAAATCTTCAGATTCTAAAGTTGAAAATAATAAGACTTTACTCTTTTAGGTAAGGAAGTACAGTAGTTTATCTTCTGTATTTTGCAAATATGTCAACAATTTTAATTTTATAATTTTCATATTTTAAAGTTTCTTTGAATCATGTGCAGTGGTCTATGACAGATAAAATTGCTAAGGACAATACATTGTCGTTGCATTATTTTTACTAAAAGCTCATGGACTTAGACTCTTTGGAGTAATGGTTGTTATTATTGACATGGAAACAAGATTTATTACAGTAGTACACTAATACACAATTCTTAAAATGTATTTAAGGGATACATCATGATTTAAATTCTTTAATTGAAAACAATTTTAAATGTATATTAGGTTTTGCCTGCATGTATGTCTGGGTGAGGATGCCCGACCCCCTGGAACTGAAGTTACAGACAGTTGTGAACTGCCGTGGGTGCTGGGAATTGAATCCCAGTTCACTGGAAGAGCAGTCAGTGCTCTTAACCACTGAGCCATCTCTTCAGACCCAGGATTTGGATATTTTATAAGTTGAATTACATTGCAAGAAATCAGGACCTAAGCAAAACTCTACTTGTCATTCATACCTCAAAGTCCACATCGCCAAAACAGCCACAAGTTGCACAGGGACCAATAATTTTCAAAATATCTTCTTTGTTTGCATTTTGGATTGTGAATTTGGGTTGAAAGGGGTCCCACTTTTGTGCAACATAACCAACTGTAGTACCAGGAGGGGCTTGAATTTCTAGCTGTAAGAGAAAATAAAATGGGATTTTAAAAGGTTATTGTGCATTAACCACATAAGAATGTCAGCTTACACCTACACAATATTTGCTATGAAATCGTTGATAAGAGTCATAAATATATTTTGAAAATTGGTGTTTTAACTTTTTGTATTTTTCATGAAAATGGTAAGAATTCATTACCCTGATATCTTTAGCACTCCCCTCTAAATGCCCTGGTGTCCTTGGCACATTATCATTCCATCTCACCTGTGACCATGAGTGAATTGTAACTTTTAAGCATGGACAAAGTCAGTAACTACTTCTCAGTTATAGCCATAACACAGATCTATTTTAACCTCTTTTACCAGTTGTTGAATGTTCACACTCATCATTTCAGACATTATTTTAGCATTTGAATGTAACCCAAATAAAATCCTTTTGTAAGATACCTTGAGATTGGGGCAAATAGAAAATGCTTCTTTTGAAGTAAATCAGTTCTCTACCTGTTTATATCATTTTTGCCCCATGCTAGGTTTATCATCTTGTGTATACATACATCTACAGTGTTCTTGGATAGACTGTGTGTGTGTGTGTGTGTGTGTGTGTGTGATGCATTTTGACTATATATAGTATATTTTATATACAGTGTATTTTGAGTACATATATATATATGTATATCTATTTAGGATACGAAGTGGTGTTTTCTTTTGGCAATTTGTATTTTGTCATGTAAATTCTAAGGATTCATTCCACTGGTATGCTTAGTACTTCCCCAGATTTATATATATATATATGTACATATATATATACAAATACATACATATATAGACATGTTTTCATATACTCATATATATGTGACATACATGTATATAGTCATATATGGCATATGCCTTACATATGGCATATATGTGTCGTAGTCATGCATATGACATATATTTGAACAAAATACACAAATTCACTCTCTCCTCCCACATATGCTTTTAACTCCCTGTGAATCAATCTTTTCAAACATATGTGCATATATATACATATATATACATACATAATATATATACATAATGTCTTAGGACTCAGAACACACACACACACACATATATAATCTGCAGAATAGAAAACTAAACAATATTCTAGTTAACAGAAACGTATCAAGTTGAGAATGAAAATTATTGTTGCAGCTCTATTAAAATGACACTCAATTATGTTCTAAAATAAAATAATTGAAAAACATCACTCTATTGCATACCATTGGTTTATTGAATATGCAAATGGGAAATGTTATTCTGAGAAGAATAACACCAAGGAAAGGTAACACCTTAGAAGAGATTAAGTATCATGGTACCTCCTGGGCATTACTACTGTAAGAGAAGATGACAGTATTTGTGTAGTGGGAACCTGTAGATATTCACAATTACTTGGTTACTATGCTAGTTCAGGAGGCTATGTCGCATTTACAGTATGCACAAGCTCCCTTTACCGTTTAATCTAATGCAAGCTGCCATAGTTATGAGTTACAATGGAAGAAGCGCCCCACCAAAATTTTCATGTTTTCCTTGTCCTAAAAGGGAAGATATAAATTTAAAAAACTGTTTAGTTGACTGTCTCATAGCTCCAGATGAATGCCGCTTAAAAGAATTATCTTAAAAAGGAAAGATGCTCAGAAGCAGTGACCAACCTCTTGTAGGTAGCAAGGGCACCAGCAGCTGTTACACCTTAGGGGCCTGTTCACTGTAATCACCTCTCGACCCGAGTTGTCTGTGATCCTCAGGGTGCAGGCTCTCAGCGTGGAACACACATTACGATTAAAACAGATGCTTTCCTCCACTGCAAAGTAAATTCTTTGTCCCAAGCTGTTTTTGATCTCATATTTGTTGGAGGTCTCAGTGCCAAGTATCACTATCAGAAAACACATCTTATGAAGACATGCTTTGATTTGGATCACCATGTGTCAAAAAGTTAAGGTGTATATGAGAATTACTGCAGAATTACTGGGCTGATAGTCTCATCTTCATACATGTCTCTTTCCATGCTTTAAACTTCGAAGACTTAGCCTCAGATGTCAAAGCAAGATCTGAGAATAAAACTAACAACTTTAACTAATTTTTATTCTAGTACTACGAACAAATATGTTGTGACACCTTTCAACCAAAGAATGGATTGTGTAAGGTAGAATGCATTATTCAAATAATAGCCCTATTATTCTTCTGCAAGTTATTTGGACAATTTACAGTGGTATTTTTTACTCTATCTAAAATTACTTTTAGCTTTCACAGAAGTGGCGCTGGCCAACTTCTTCAATTCTGACATATTCTGGAGTAATATAGAATCTTATAAATAGAGAACACGCAAAGAATTTGAAATTATTAATCATCTTCATACAATTGATAAGTTGTATGCTTATTTTATTGAGTCAATTGTGAAGCAATAAAATGATAGCATTTGTGTAGATTAAATTTTAATATGCTCTCAACTGTGATTTCCCCTTCTCAGAATGTTAAGAAATTTCAATGATTAATATCCATGGGATATTAATTACTGCTTGTCACTTTAAGATTAATTTTATTAGATTTGGATGTCATTCCTATGAAGGACTTACATTTATACTTATAGCTGTGGTTAAATTAATACATTTAATTCTGGTTTAAAAAATAGGTCAAACAATCATTTGCTCTTTTCTAGCCATTGTTTATAACATTTTAGTTGTAAAGAAACTTGTGGACAGTGTGGCTCCAAAGGATGCTGTAACGATAATCAACACAATTACTGAAAGTAAAACTAAGTATTTATGGTAGAAATTACTCACAAGATGCCAAACAAGTAACCCAGATGAGCCAAGTAGATTCCCCCCTGCCCCGGAAGCCGAACCCCGGGAAAAGAGAGCGAGACTTCCTGTGTGCTGTCTTTTATGCCTTCCCCCGTAACGCCCCCTAGCCATGCCCAAAAGTGGGCCTGGCTAGTGACGCAGTTCACCGCCTACGTACGTACGTATAGGTCTTTACGTCTGGCCATATACGTCTTTAGTCATGCCTAAAGTGGGTGTGGTTAGTGGTGTGGTAAACCACACTTTTATTACCTCATCTGTATGTGCCTCTAGTAAGTCACATGGTTAATGGCGGCATACAGACTTCCTCCTACAGGACAGTAAGGCCTTTTCAGATGTTTGAATAAATGCACAATCTGATGTACTTACTCCCAAGAAGTTCCACTTGCTGATGGATGATTATCAGGTCCAACTGCAAAGGACAATACGAAGGAAATGAAAGACAATCCACCACAGCCCTTAGTACAACATGAAGTCTGTCATTTTCATTGAAATGTTTAGAACACTCACAATTTATAAGTAAAGCCTTAGCTGCAGGAATCGAAGCAAACTCTGAGAAGAAAATATTTAATTGTTATTCTAGATCTATGACAACACATGTGCCATGTTTCAACTAAAGAACACATTTTGTAAGGAAGAATTTATTATTCAAATAACAACCCTGTAATTCCTCTATGAGTCTATGTCTCACTGACAGAACTCATGGCCTGTCTTCACCATAAGTTATTGTTCAGCTAATAATTTATAGAATTCTTAAAACCCCAAGTCAGAATTGCCAAGGACAAGAAAAGCAACAGTGTTTACGTTAACCCTGATAATGAGAAAAAGAAGTGATACACCAAACAATATTTTTAGGATATTTTAAAATAACCTCTAAATAATAATGTAGAAAAGACATTTTAAAATTATCCCAAATTTCTTGTGAAGAAATGAAGAAGCAGGATGAGTATTGAACAATCAGCTTTTTCCAGTGCCCGTATATCCACTGTTCAAACTGGAAGATTCATCCTGCAGCAGATGGGAACAAATACAGAAGAGACCCACAGCCAGATGTTATGCAGAGAGTGAGAGATCTCTGAACACTCAACCCTAAATGGATGTCTTCATCAAATCCCTCCCCTCATGGCTCAGGAAAACCTGCTGAAGAAGAGGCCAAATGAGTTTAAGAGCAAGAGGGGGAGGATGACACCAAGAAAACAACGCCCTCTAAATCAACATGCTCAAAACTATATGAACTCACAGAGACTAAGGCACCATACACAGGGCCTGTGTGAGTGTGCACCAGATGGTGCCCTAGACCTGAAAGGAGACCTAGACACATGCCCCCATTCCTAATGCAGAAGCAGCCTCCAACTGATAATCACTTGCAAATGAAAATCGAATTTCCTTCAAGGGAGTCTTACTGGGGAAACAAACTACTCTTAAGGGTAGACTACATGCCTGCTAGTTGATGACCAAAAGAAAATGAACTCATTGACATCATTGGAGGTTCCCTGATTTAAAATGTAATGTCAGGACTTTTCATTTAAAAAATATACAATTTTAATTTTTTATTATATATATATATATGTTTGTGTCTCTGTGTGTGTGTTTCATTTTTATTCTATTTTTAAACCTACAGTTCTATATGGCTTCCGGTTTAGTGTTTTTAGGGGATTCCTGAGTGTGTCAATGAGTGGGCCTGTATTTCTTGTGCCATCTCTTGGGCTCTTTTTCTTCTTTTTGTTTTGTCTAATTCCTATTGCTATTTTTGTTTTATATTATCTTATTATATTATACTTTATTTTATTGTTATCCTATAGAAGCCTGTTTATTTTCTAATGAGAGGCAGAAAGGGGGTAGATCTAGAAAGAAGGGAAAGTTGGGTAGGACTTGAAGGAGAAGAGGATGGGGGGAAATGTGATCAGGATATATGATGTTTTAAAAAGTTATGTTTTCAATAAAAGGAAAGGCAGTTAACACATACAAAGTCATTTAACAGATGTTCTCTTACAGACTTACATGAAATAGTTTTGAAATGCCCACTTACCTTTTTATACGTACATGGCTTCAAGAAAACCCACATTCTGCTAGCATAAAATGAGTAAGTTACTCCCTTTAGAAGCAAAAATCTTAACAATTTACGGCATATTTTGTTTTCTTAAAAAATATTAGCAAAGGAATGCTTTTAGAAAACCTGCTACATTTAGAACTAAAGCTCGCGAATTCTTATGTCTATTTATTGAAGGTTAGAACACGCATTCACGTCAAGCATCTGGCCATGGTGTGTCATCATTCATGGGTGGAAGAGGAATATGTGATGACCATATGTGATCATCAAACCTCAGCCCTCTGGCGCTGGTATATCACTTTTATATTTGGCAAAACCTTGTCTGACAACACTCCCAAACAGCTTGCAGCAGTTAATCAACTCTAGTCAGCTATTACAGCTGATCCTTTTTGCAGATGGACGATGGTAGGTTAGCTTTTCCAGCTCCTTTTGGTAGGTCCCTGAGCTCGCCAGTCTCTATAGAAAATTTGTCTGCCAGTGGGTTTCTGGGGAAGGCATCTGCATCTATAAACATTTTCCCAGGAACATATGCTGCATGCAGCTTAAACCCTATCAGGCATAGCAGAAATCTCTTGTACCTTAAGGAAATAAACGCAGATACTCGATTTTGATAAAAGAGATAGACTTTATGTTTGAAGGAATGCCAAACAAGGGAGCTTCGCAGCAGATGTGCTGACATCTCAATATTGGAGTCTTTCTAGTTTTGTATAGGATAATGTGCTAAAACAACAATACAGCCACATATGAACAGCAGTTCCTTTTTCCTTTCACGTGACAAAGTTTTGCAAGGCTTGAAGTGTTGTCCATCCTGCCACAACTAGAACAGCAGCAGTACCTAATAGTGTGATATGATCATTCCAGGAGGTTGACCTGGGGACTCAGAAACATCAGAAGACCGTAACGTGGGCGTGGTAACTTGTCTTCCCTTGGACTTTCATGTTGCTTATGAGAGATCTGTTGAAAGGTCTCAACTCCTTGCAAAAGTCTGCAGGACTACCTTCTCCCTTAAAGATGTGTGCTTTCCTGGCTTTCATGTCATGCTTTACATGCTTTAATCAACATTTTTGTTTGATCATTACCTAATACAATGTAGAGTGACAGGGGTTAGGCTTTATGCTTCTTATGTGCCTTGGATATACAAGTGCTCAATAAATGTTTAATTAATAGCTGCAGGTGGCCTAGTCTGATAATTCCTTGTGAATATCTCCACACCTTGAGCAATGAGCAGAAGGTAGATAAATGTGCTAAATGGCAAAGTCAAAACTATTTAGTCTTGTCACTTTGTCAAGTAAATAAGGATAGGTGGCAATAGTATGGAATAAAGTTCTATCTAAATAAAAAAATAAATGAAGTCAGTGCTTTATAACTTTACGATTTATAATGCACTCTGTACTCTGCTAAATTATTGGTTGAAAAACAAGAATCTGAGTGTGAAATGCTTTTAAAGGGAACATGAGAGTAGAAATGGAAAGGCACGCAAACCTGGCTTAAATATTCTAGACCAGGGGGGAGACTGGCTGTTGGCAGGAAACTACTTGGCTGAGGTTCATTAGGCTGCTGCCTTGCTTGTTTCCTGGGATGAGAAGAAGCTGCTCGAGAGTGTTGATCCGGGTTTGTGGCTCCAGGAAGAAAACCAGGCAGACTTTCAGGCTTTTGATTCTGTGAATCTGTAAGAGAATGAATATCTTTATGTGTGTTAAAATTTAAGTTGCTTTTGCTTCTTTCCTTCCTTCCTTCCTTCCTTCCTTCCTTCTTTTTCTTTTTTTTTATTTAAGTGGAAGTTTGTTCCTTGATTGATTTCTCTCTCACTTTAATGTATTTCGTTTGTTTTACTACTCCATACCACACCACTTGACTTCTCAGCCAGACAAAAAGAATGTAGAATAACACTGGTAATTGTGAGACAAAGTTGAATAACTTGGCTTAAATAATTGGCCTGGAGATACACTGCATGTATAAATATGTTTGTGTATAACTCCAAGATAACACCTCTTCAAAAAGTTGAATAATTATAGACTACGAAAGCAAAATAGATGATAGTAGACTCTAGATAGCCTTACTCATGAAAGAATAGCCTTAGACTTGAATTTTTCATTGGAATTTTGACTACCTTTAAGTAGTTTCCTTTCTTTGAGTGTTATGGGTCTGCTTATACTTTATGAAGTTACTCTGTCTAATTTATTTGTCATGATATTATTGCCCACCTGGGGTGGGGACCTGTCAAAAAAGGTGTTGGGGCTCTCTCCAGTTATTTATTCAGAAAATGGGGTGGGAGGCTTGTAAAGTTGCATTTTGATAAGATCTCAGATAAAGCTAATTGTCCTAATGGCATGAGGATACCCTCTGAAAAACCACTGTTAAACTGAGTAAGCTTAAAGAGGTCCATACTTTATCAATGTATTAGCATAATTACAGAATTATATAAAGGTCACTTTGTTAGTGTAGAGATATCAAATAATATCAACATTAATGTTGAGTAAATATGCTTCTATGTTAGTCATAGTCATCCCACATTGAACTCTAGATTGCTTATTTATTGTGTATTAGTTCTATGTAGTATTATGCAGACATCCTAGACAGGCAAATCTTTATCCAAAATTATAAATGATTGATTTCTACTAGTTTATCTATTTCATTCTCATAAAAATCATTGTGTTATTTCCCTCATTAGATGCTAAGTTTTTTTTTTCCAAAGACTACTGGTGGGTCATGTTTCTCACCCTCATAGAATGTCAAGGCTCTTTCTGAAAAATGTGAATAAATTTAAGTGGTTCATCAATGTTGCCTTGCTTTAACTTATCTTTTGTTCACAAGAAAGTGAATGGTCAAGTTAAAAAAAACTATAATAGGGTTCCTCATGTAAAACAAGCACAATTAAGCATCACATTACTTAACAGCATTAACACTATTTGAGAATATATCAATCATTAGGTGATTTCACGGATGTGTGAAGGTCATGGAGTATGTTTAAGAGCTAGCATTATTAAGCAACAGCATTTTATGGACCATGGCCTTTGTGGGCTACCATACACTGAAATGTTGTTAAGTAACAAGTACATGAGTGGGACGAAGGAATTGGTTCTGAATTGATACAAAGAAGAAATTTATAACAGCTGTATATGTTTTGAGCAATTGCTTTCATTGAACATATACTAAGATTGGGGTGCTATATAAATATTTAATATAAATTATAATGGTCTAATTTCTGTAAGGATACCCAGATTTATAAAAATTTTGTGTGTTTGGGGTATTTTCCTGTATCTTGCAATCACAAATGCAGATTAAAAATTTACCAGAATTCTTTCTAAGATAATAAACTCCCATCATTAAGAAACCCAAGCAAAGTCTAAACAGAGATGAAGGAACACAGATGAATGAATGTCTCTTTGGACAAAGGAATAATTTGATTCTAGTAATGACAAGCTTGTTAAATTTGTGCATACAGGAAGTGTTAATGAGGGGCAATTGCCAGATGACTCATTTATTTATTTACCCCTCAGGTTGTGGGAACTGGTTGGATTTACATTAATATTGATGTCGGTTGCTAAATTTGAATTTATCTGTGGCATTTGAGATCTGTACAGGGCTTGCTTTAGGATTAAGTGAACGAAGAAACTTGTCCTTTGACCCCTCTGTAATAGAACTTGTAAGTGATAAGGCTGTAGCAGTTGGCTTCCCACAAGGATTCCTCCAGAAGTGTTCTGACCACAGGAACAGGCACAAAGGAAGGAGATAACTGCTCTTGTTCTTAGGAAAAGACACTGGAAGGGAATTCCATGGGGGAACCCCAGACCAGGAAGACTATGTAAAACTATGTAAAATCAGAGGAGAGCTACCGGTCATAAAAGCAACAGATGGAAAACAGTGAATGCAACAAACACCTTGTCCAACATTAGTGCTTATAACAACTGTCATCATCATTTTGCAGAAGACAAAACCAAAAGCAAACGAGTGGCAAAATCATGATCTAGAAAATATAGGTCACAAACAGAATGCATAATAATAGTTAATGGGAGTATGGGGGTGTGTGGTTATTGGCTACAAAGGGAACACTGTCAGCAGCTGGAAGCATTACATGTCTTGCTCTTGGTGGTAGTCCTGTGAGTGTATCTTTTTAAAAAAAATTATGAGAACTACGTTTGGTGCAAAATTGTGCAAAACTCCACAATAAGAACAAGGTTCATTCATAATATAAGCTGCTACAATATTACATTGTCTCTTATTGTCATTGTTTTTAGAAAAGATTGGCAAATTACTTCAAGTTTATCTTATAAACTATTCTGCTTCAGCACACTACAGTAGGTTGTTAAATGTCTGGAAAGGGGCTTCATATCCCTGACCTGGGCTACTAGGTTTCTGACCTAACAGTGGGCCCAGAGGATGCCTTTCCATGCATTTATTTTACCAAGTGGAGGGGTTCCAGATGATATGCATTTCTTTGGATCTACAGTATCCAGTTCAGGCTGTCTTGGACTGGTCTATAAAATGCCCCATTACCCGTAGTCTCTGAGAAAATACTACCCTACAATAGACTTTCATAGGCCAAAGAGCAATATAAAGTTATGCCATATCTTTAAATGTTTTTCAAAAATATACCCTCAAACATATTTTAGGTAAAATGAGATAAGGTGACTTCTCAAACATGGTTTCCTATTTGGATGATGCCTTCCTTTCACTATGATTTTATAATGTTTATCCAAGCCATGGGCTAAATGTTTTTAGCTGGCCATAGGGATGTTCGTTTTTATCTTAAAGTTTGTGTCTAGGTTTAGTGTTTCTTTAATTCACAAATCCAGTCTTTTTCATTGCTGAACATCACATCTTTTTGGCAGATTAATCATAATATTGCTTTCCAGTCACATTTTCTTCAAAGACCCAGACCACCAGATGAATAAGAAACTCCTTTGAATTGCTATCTGGCTTTGAATTTCTATCTACTCTTTTAAAAATGTATAACTAAACCATAAATATTTTACACACTCTGCAACTCTTCCCCTTCCAGGCCACTGTGGTGCTGCTCTTAATTTATAAAATTAGAGTCAGTTGGACCGTATTCGTGTTAGTCTTCAGGAAATGTTTGTCAAGGTTTGTGTTTATTTGTCTTCAAATAGAGACCACATTAAAATTCAATATTTCTCTCTTTCAAATATATTTTATAATCTGTTTATAAGCTTTCTCAAGGATTCTCAAGCCTACATTAAATAAAAACGAAAAATACAAAGACTACTTCATTTGTTTAATAGATGTCAAAGATATGTTTATGAAGCAAAGAAGAATGCATTCACATTATTTGGAATGAATCATCTCTTTAAACAATTTAGGAGAGTTTGTGTTTATAGAATTATCTGATTTGAGGCTAGTTTTAAATGCTTCTCAAAATTTCACTAACCAAACTTCTTCCTTCTGAAACTTTTTATTATAGTGTAGAGTTTAATAGTGGTTTGTTTTGATAATTGAATAAAAATGGATTATAATTTCATTTTTAGAAATATTTTACTGTGGCTGCATCCTGACAAAACCTTCTCTCTCATCTTTTGAAATCTGTCTTAATTAAAACAGATGTTAAAACAGTTTTAGGGTTCTGAGTGACAGTGTACCCTTTTCTGGTAATGTCCCTAATAGATCTGCTTGCCTAAATGGAATACTTTCTTCATTTTGATTGATTTTTATGCTGAATTTACTGCCAATTATTTAAAAAATATTTTAAGTTTATAAAGCAAAATATTTAGCCCTACTGCATTAAACTGAGGCTGCACTGATGTTCTGTTCTTCGTTGGTTTCTGTGCTACATGGTGTTGAACAACAAATGAGCAACCACAGATGTTTGAGTAACATTTTTAGATGCCTATATGGAATCTTTCTTACAGATTCACTTACACTTGGAATCTCATCCCATTGCTGTGTTTAAGTTAAATATCCCCCACCCTCAATTTTACTTTACAGCTTTCTTACTAATTTGCTAAGTTTACATTCCCTACAGCAAAAGCACATTTTGCATCTGAATGTTTTACATTCTTTTGGCCAAAATGTGTGTGTACTTTCAGTTAGGACAAAGTAAACTTTAGTGTAAAATAATTCAAATGCTAATGTTCAACAGCAATAAATAACAGCTTTTCAAGTAACAACCTCACTGGCTATAGTATTTCAATAGCCATGCACTTGTCGTTATAATATATACGAGGGCACATTTAGTTGCTGGCTAGCTCTACCCTTACCTTTAGAGGCCATGGCAGTCTGAGTACCTCTTCAAAGGCAGCCAAGTGAAAAGGCTTTTCCTGCTTCAACACGGAGAGAGCAGAATGAATAAACCTCCGGACACTCGCTGTTCGCCTCATGTCAGCTTACAGACAACAGAAACGCAGTGTCTCGCTGGTTCTAGAGTGTTTGATTTTATCTGTTCGGAGAATTGGGGGAGATGAAGCCATCGCCCAAAGGAAAAAGTCATATGACTCGGTGGCTGAAAGAACTACTTAGAAATAGCAAAGAGAAGGGAAAATACAACGTTTATGCTGCCGTGCTGCCTCTTAGGTGTGTAATATGTTCTGGCATCAGATGTGGTCTATTACTTGTCAGGGTCAGAGGCTGTGTAAATCATCCTGTCACCTGGAAGACTGTCATAGATGGAAACAGTTCTTTATAAGTTCAAATGTTTGAGCCACTCTCATCCTTATTTTGTCATGTGATTTCTGTCCAACCCACACCTCACAAGCAAACAAGCAAACTCCACCTCTTCTGCACATAAATAATTCTTTATTTTCAGGCATAAATTAAATGTGATTAACCACAGAAAGGGAAACACAAAATTTTACAGAGCTAAGCAAAGCATCCAAATATGTCACTCACCATGCAACCTTAAAGAGTCATCTCCTGGTTGTGAGTGCAGCTTCCGAGGAGGACGTGGGACTTTGTTCACCCACCCAGCCTGGATGCTATCGTACAGGATACATTACGGCACTATCTACCCTAGAAACAGTGCAGTTGCCCAAGAAGGAGTAGGGACGATAAAACTGAAAGTTTAATATGGTACATATTAAAAGTATAGATTTTCTGAGTTGACCGTTACTTTCTGTTAAGATTGGGCCTGAACACAACTATCTTATTTAAGTTTTCATTCCCCTTAAAAGCTACATTTGCATTTAAAAAAATTAAACTCCATAAATTTTATTGGCAATTACAAAAAAAGGTCATCTAAAGAAGTTAAGTTACACTATCCAACAGAGTGTTTTAAATTGTGATAATAACTAGACAATAATTTTGATTATCCTATAGAATACCAAGTTTGAAATTGAAAAAGACATGTTTAACATTTGACCTGTAGAGGGCACACCGTCCCTACAATTGCATAAGGTCATGTGACTGACAGCTACTCTCTTTATGCCATGCTGTGCAACCTGACTTTTCTACTTTCTCTGATGTGGTATGACTACTTGGACGTGCGTCGCTGCCTACCCTACTTCTCCTGTACATTGGCCAACCACAAGGCCGATATTGTTTTCCTCCCTTCAGATGCCCCTTACATGCCTTGGGGCTCCCTTCTCTGCTCTTTTCTGACTGATACTCTTTCTCAAGGAGAGGCATGGATCCCTCTTTCATGAAGTTCAGGTGTTTCAAGCATGCTAACAGTTTCAGGTATCCTAATGATCGATACCTGTTGCTTTGGGCTCTGCAGCTAGTCTCCTTTCTGTAGGAGCTGCTGTCCAACTTTACCTTCAACACTACCAGTCCTGACAGTGCTGTGCTCATAATAGAACCAAGGTCCCCATTATTGTTCAAGATGCCCAAAGCCTCCATCAGGGGCAGCAGCTTCCTTTGCTATGGTGAGGCATTTTTCTCATCCCCAATTTTTGATTACTTTAAAAAGAGCTATTAAAAGATGAGTATGTCTAATAAAAAGAAGGCAACAGCAACAAAAAAAGCAATAATAATAGAAGACATACTGCCAAGTAGGAAAATCAAATAATGAGCTTGAAGGAAAACAAACAAACAAACAAACAAACAATACCAAACAACTACAAAACCCTAACAACCTTGAAAACAAATATCAGAAAGCATTCGGTTGTGGTCTTGCTCCTCCCCTGTTATTTCTTGACTTGCTAGTTAAGGCGAGCAAGTGTAAAGAACAGCTTAGCCATCTTAAACTCCGCTTGACTTAGGCTATGCTCACAACACTCTAATCATGATGTACTTATCTGCAGAGGCTATGTGCACACTTCTCATTCCTGCATACCTGTTAACAACGTAAGATTTCCACTTGCATTACAACACACACACACACTACACTATGAACAATGGAGTCAATCTCCTCTCAGTGACCACCAAAATTGGACAGTTTCTCTTCAAAGGTTATTTCCAAAACTTCCTAGAAGGGCCGGTCCTGCCTGAACTTGGTTTTGATGCAGACACAAAGAGGTAAAACTCTGTGTCCTCAAATGTGTATTTGTGGAGAATCCTCAATTTACCATGTTAAGCATAATTGCATGTGAATATAGTTAAAATCAGATGCATTATGGAAAAGGGAATGTGTAGTGGGTAAAGGCTTGCATAATTTCCTACTAGTTAAAATGGAGACCTACACAGACTCTATTGTTTAGAAACCAGTCATTCTTTCTTTCAAAACTGGTAAAAGGAAATTCTAAACAGTAACTGGGTCCCTTAAATATCCTCTCTCATGTGGCCTGTTACAAATCTTTATACTTATTCATTTTATTGACTTGTTTATTTATAGTGTGTGTGCACCTAAACTGTGGCATAAATGAAGGTCAAAGGGCAATTTGTGTGAGTTGCTTGCAATCACCTTTATTTACTGAGAAATCTTGCCAGGTCATTTAATTTGTCTTTGAATAGCTTTCTTGCTACTTAGGGAAATCTGTGTGAATGTTTATTTAAGTTCTTTAAGAAAGAAACCAAGACCAGAAAACAGATGGCCTAGTCTCTGATTGCCCATCACATTTTTCCTGTGAGTGTTTGGTTCACAACTTATCTGTGTGAAATTGTTTTCATCTCACCACACCCAGTCTTGTCTGTTTTTCTGTCTGTTCCCATGTCCTCTGTTTCAGCCAAAAGAACACAGAAAAAATTAAAATATACCCCCTGCACCATTATCTTCTGCCAATGGCCCATTCAAGAATATATCATAGATGTTTTGTCATGCTGTCCATTCAATAATAATGGACATTATTATTGGACAAAATAATGGACAAAAACAATAAATCCCTGTTTAAAACATGGCATGTTATTTAATGGTTATATAATAATTGAAATCCATTTTCAGTTGGCAGACTCATCAAAATAGTATCTTTTGATACCAGGGGAGAGAATTTATTTAAATCTGTATAGTAACAGACGGGAATGTGGTGGCACGCCTTTGATCCCAGCACTCAGGAGGCGGAGGCAGGCAGATCTCTGTGAGTTTGAGGCCAGCCTTGTCTAAACAGTGAGTTCCACAACAGCCAGAACTGTTACACAAAGAAACCCTGTATAGAAAAAAACAAAAAAAAATTCTATATAGGAACAGAGAAAAATACTGTGCATTACAACACTAAACAACAACAAGAAAAATACCACTAATCTTCTCCAAATTACATTGTGCTAAAAAGATGGGAAGTAGAGTTTCTATAATATGACAGATTTGCCAGAACCTGCTAGAGAAGATTGGGAAGAGCTGGCTATTATAATACTTACCTAGGTTTGTTTTCTGTCTCTGTTTTTTCCATGAAATGAACATGCATTTAAAAATTATGTATATACAGTTTCTGGCCCACCTTCCTGTGCCCTGAGTGAAACCAGCTGAGGCCTGGGACCTATCCTGGACAGAGACAACACACCCAGAGACTGTTAGCATCCTAGTCCCACAGGACTAGTTAAGCCTGGGCCTGTTTCCAGCCTACCTTCCTGTACTCTGAATGCAACCAGCTAAGGCTTGGGGACTGCAAACTGCAGATCCCAGCCCAACAGAATCCATCCGACCCTGAGACGATCAAGGCCCCTGTACTAGGACCACCTCCATCCACAGGAAGAGGAGAGTCACCAGAGTATTGTATCTACATCCATCAAGACTCAAATATCCCAATGCAGACAAAGCAGAAGAGAATGACTTTAAAAACAACTTCATGAAAATGATAGAGGTTCTCAAAGAGGATATAATCCCTTAAAGAGATGGAAGAAAAAAAAAACCAAAACATGCAAGAAATGGAGGAAAATACAAAGCAAAAATTGCAAGAAAGAATTAAAACAGTGTAAGGGTTGAAAGCTAAAATAGAGACAATAAAACACAAACACAGTCTGAAGGAATACTGGAAATAGAAAAGTAGGGTAAAGAGTCAGGTACTACAATGCAAGGATAACCAACAGAATACAAGACATGGAATAGAGAATCTCAGGTGTTGAAGATACACTAGGAGAAATAGATTCATACACCAAAGAAAATCTTAGGTTCAACAAATCCCTAACAAAAAATATCCAGGAAATATGGGGCATTGTAAAAAGATCAAAACTAAGATTAATAGGTATAGAAGAAGGTGAAGAAAACCACCTCAAAGGGGCAGAAAACATATTCAGCAAAATCATAGAAGAAAACTTTCCCAACCTAAGGAAAGACATGCCGATTAAGGTGCAAGAAGCTTACAGAATACCAAAGACAGTGGACCACAAAAAGGTATCCTCATCACATAATAATCAAGACCTCAAACATATAGAATAAAGAAAGAATATTAAGAGTAGCTAAGGAAAAAGTTCAAGTAACATATAAAAGCAAACCTATCAGAATTACTCCTGACTTCTCCATGGAAACTCTAAAAGCCAGAAGGTCCTGGATAGATATTCTACCAACAAGACTACTATACCCATCAAAGCTTTCAATCCCTATATAAGGATAAAACAAGATATTGAATGACAAAACCATATGTAAACAATACATATCCACTAACCCAGCCATACAGAAAGTTCTGGAAAGAAAACTCCAACCCAAGCAAGTTAACTACAACGAGAAAATCATAGGCAATAGATAATCTCATTTTACCAATAGCCAAAAGAAAAAGGGGGTGGAAATCCACACTACAAACAATTGCAAAATGAACAAGAATGAGCAATAAATAGTCACTAATATCCCTCAATATTAATTGTCTTAACTCGCCCATAAAAAGACATAGGCTAACAGAATGGATTTGAAGACAGAATCCATCCTTCTGCTGCATATAAGAAACTCACCACAGCTTCAAAGACATATATTACCTCAGAATTAAGGGTTGGGAAAAGATTTCCAATCAATTGGACCCATGAAACAATCAGGGGTAGAAATTGTAACATCTAACAAATTAGACTTTAAACTAATATCAGTCAAAAGAGATGAAGGAGGTCATTTCATATTCATCACAGGAGAAATCCACCAAGATAATGTCTCAATTCTGCACATCTATGCCCCAAATACTAAGGCATCCATGTTCATAAAAGAAACATTACTAAAACTCAAATCATACATAAAACCTCAAACAATAATAGTGGGAGACTTCAACATCCTACTCTCACCACTCGACAGGACTACCAGGCAGAAAATTAACCAAGAAACAAAGGAACCAATAGAAGTTACTACCCAATTGGTTTTAACAGACATCTATAGAACATTCCATCCAAACACAAAAGAATAAACCTTCTTCTTGGCACCACATGGAATGATCTCAAAATTGACCACATACATTGCAACATAGCAAATATCAACAGGTATTAAAAAATTTGGAATAACTCCATGTATCTTCTCAAACCACCATGCTTTAAAGTTAGAATTCAACAGCAACACAAATTACAGAAACCCTATAAACACATAGAAATTGAATAAGTTGTACCATTCCTGGGTCAAAGAAGAAATAAAAAAGAAATTAAAGACTTCCAAGAATTCAATGAGTATAGGGAGAGACCAGGTACCCAATGGGAAGTGGTGATAGGTACATGAGAATATTCAGGAGATAAAAGAAGGAACAAGTGGGTGCCCTTGCTCTCTAGTATCCTGACCGCAGTTCTGAGACCATAGAACACTGACCCGGCTGTTCATGTATGTGATTGCTCTCTCCAAATTAATGTCTAGACCTCCTTTCCAATATTAGTTGTGTGGATTTGTTCTATCATCAAATTAGACTGAAGACACAATGTACCCAAACTTATGGGACACTTTGAAAGCAGTGCTAGAGATGAAAGTTCAGAGCACTAAGTGCCCACATGAAGAAACTGGAGAAAAGTCACACTAGAGAACAGAACAACTGAAAGCTCTAGAATACAATGGAGCAAAATCACCCCTGAGGAGCAGATGCCAGGAAATAATCAAATTGAGGGCTGAAACCAATAAAGTAGAAACTAGGAAAATGATACAAAAAATCCATGTAAGAAAGAGTTGGTTCTTTGAGAAAATCAACAAGATAGACAAACCTTTATCCAAACTTATTAAACAGCAGAGTATGAATATGCAAATTAACAAAATTAGAAATGAAAAGGGGGACATAACAACAGACACTGAGGAAATCCAGAGAATCACCAGGTCATACTTTGAAAACTTGTACTCCACAAAATTCAAAAATTTAAAGGAAATGGACAATTTTCTGGATGGATATCACTTGCCAAAATTAAATTAAGAACAGAGAAGCAATTTAAATAGACCTA